ACATGACCTAGACGCGTGAAACGATCCAGGCCGTCCAAATAAAGTCGATTACAAACATAGTCACGTGAAAAGCACATGCAGCTAACTAACCTAAGTAAAACAGCAAAGAAGTTCTTCACAGAAGATTAACTCGCAGACCCTCTGTGAGCCATCGCAGAGACTCTGCTGGATGTGACTTGTAAGCTCTTGATGAAAGAGGATCAGCTTCCAAAACCTCTATGAGAGACAACAGAGGTTCTGTCATTCTTGACTTGTATGCTTTTGTCCACAGAGAACCAGTTTCCAGAACCTCTGTGATAGACAACAGAGGTTCTGTCACTTTTGACTTGAACGTTGAACATCTTCTGTTGTTGGTCATCTGTTGTCTTCTGTGGTAGAACCTCTTCTGTCAACACTTGCAGTAATATTTTTTTCATACTTTTACATTAACAGAATATGAGAGCTAACACGTCCATAAATATTAGTTCTAACAGAGCGGTAGAAGTAAGAATAGACATAGAGAAGGGTAGTTTATGACTTCTATAGATATTGCAGAAATTCCAACTAAACTGGAATGAAGGAAGATTTAATGGCAATTGACTCTGTAGGATTTTAATAATATCAACTGAGGGATGACCCAAATGGTGATGCCAACTGGTGGGGGCGACCATGCTTGAGTGAACGAGAGTAGGTGATGGGCTCCATTCATAAATGCCCCCATTAGTTGGCCCTTGGAAAAGAGTGAGGCCCATCGACCGATCCTTAAAACAAAAAGGGGTGGGTAAGAATTCGACAAGAGCATTATTTTCCATGCAGAATTGAAAAATAGAGAGAATGTTTCAAGATATAGACGGTATAAATAAAACATTGGAGAATTTTAAAAAAAGAACCAACATGAGAAATCGACAGAGAGGAGCATAACTGATGATGAGATCATTGGAGCCATCATAAGGGACATTTAAAGCTAGGTTGGCTAAATCATTTGTGACATAGATAGTTGCACCGTTGTTCATGAGCAATGAAGAGGAAGGGAGATTAGCAAAGGTAGCAACATTAGTTTGAGGAGTCAAGCGAGAAACTCGTATTGGATTCAAATAGAGGGGAGACGTGGGAAAAATTATGTGAAGGAAGAGTTTTTTTAAGACGAGCCATTGAGAAACGACGTGGCCTTCATGAAGACACCATTGACACTTACCGAGATAAGGTTTAGAGGTGCAGTTGTTGGTGGTGGTGTTTGGGGTGGGAAAGATGCTGGAGGTGGTGGTGTTGCCATTGCTTGCCATGATGAGAAATTGGATGGGAATAAAATGATCAATACTCTGATACTATATAAGAGATGAAAAGGTTTTTGATGAATTTTATTAACAACCATGGAGTCTATTTATACACACATTTACATCTCACTAAGAGGAAAACAAATTAATCTATTTAAGACTATTAATTAGAAATTATTAATAAGAATAATTATAAACAAAAGAGATATACAACAGTAATGTAGATGATCAAAATCAAAGATTGGTATCCTTGTTTGAATCGTTAATTTGGGGAGAGCTATTATCCTTACTAGTATCTATGAGGAAAAATCGATCATCGTCTTCAACCAAAAACAAACAAAAATGACCCATCTCTGGTTCGAAACCATCTCCCTTGCTCTAATAGTTCGAACCATCAAGTGTAGAAAAAAAAATCTTCCCTCACATTACAAAATCTTCCCCCCCCCCCCCCAATTTATTTGTGATCGCCATCTTTAATGGTGATAGATATTCCGGTAAGGTTTGGGTTTGACCGATGGTGATGGATTTTCCGGTAAGGTTTGGGTTTGATCAATGGTGGTGGATTTTCCGGTAAGGCTTTGGTTCTATTGATGGTGGTGCAAAGGGAAATGGCGTTTGGAACATGAGTTGAGAGAGAACGGTGGTTTTGACGTGGAGGATGGAAGGGACGGAAGGACTAAGAAGAGAGGGTGGCCGAAGAAGAGAGAAGAGAGGGTGGTCGAAGAAGAGAGGAGTCCAGAGAAAGGCGAAAGGTGTCATTGAGTGTGGGAGGATTGGTCGGAAAATCCCAAGGGAGGGATGAAAATGGTATCGATGCAATATGTAGTATATATACATGTGCTTATACACACACACACACACAAGTAATACATTATTTTGATTTGTATGAAAATTAGGAAAAAATTAATAAAAAAAAAACAAAATATCCCTTATTTAATAAACATCTTTTAACGAAACTAGTTTCAGAGATCATTGTAGGAGCAAAATAAAAATCACAAGGATGATTTCTAAACTTATTAAATGTTATACACCATTTTCAAGAATGTCATTAAATCTCAAGGACTAAAATTGTAGTTTACTCTATTCAAGAAAGACAAATTTTATTAAAATATGTCTTAAATAATATATTTCAAAATCATGTTTGGCAAATTAGGTGTTAATTGAAAATATAAATCTTTTATTTATTAAAATATGTCTAAAATAAAATTATATTACACAATAAAGATGACAATAACCTTAAGGTCTTATCTAGTAAGAATCATAATAAAGATCAGTAATATTATCCAGTAAATACAAGGAAAAAAAACCTTTATTTGGTAAAGACGTTTTCCAAAAACCTATTTTACTTAATAAAGTAAGTGATGATAATTTTTATCACATAATATCTTCATCTAATTTTTTTTGTGTGAATACAGATACTGTCAAATAAAAAGGCTAATATGCCCTTGATAAGAAATTTGAATATAGTTATTGTTGAATGAAAAGACTAATATGCTCTTGATGAGAAATTTGAATATGGTTGTAGTTATATGAAAAGACTAATATGCCCTTTGATGAGAAATTGATTATCCATCCTTGTATAATAATCCTTTGATGACTATATAAACCAATTTGAAACATCGCCAGTTTATCAAAGAAACGTGATTGCTGACAAGACGAAGGCGGCCACAACAGCCATTGTCGTCAACGAAAACAGCTAAGAAACCTCCACCTCAAACCCTCCCTTTTTGTAGCTGTATCTCAACCCCACCACTTTTCTCCATTGTTCCGCCATTAAAACCACCTCCCACCTCATGCAACTCATCTCTGAAAATCTCCTTTTATCCCCAATCAAAATGGAACCCCTTTCTGCCATTCTTCTATCCGTAGCTCCATACATTCTATCAATCACTGCATTTCTCATTTTGCTTGAACAAATCTCGTACTTAAACAAGAAACGATCCATCCCTGGCCCTACTCTTGTCTTGCCGTTCGTCGGAAACGCCGTTTCGCTTGTACGGAATCCGACTCACTTCTGGGACCTTCAGTCTGCCATGGCTAAATCCTCTGGGATCGGATTTTCAGCCAACTATATCATCGGAAGATTCATCGTCTTTATCAGCTCCACCGATCTTTCTCACAAAATCTTCGCCAACGTCCGTCCCGACGCTTTCCACCTCGTCGGCCACCCATTCGGGAAAAAGCTTTTCGGTGATCATAATCTCATTTATATGATGGGCCAAGAACACAAGGATTTGCGCCGCCGTATTGCGCCCAATTTTACACCTAAAGCTTTGTCTACTTACACTGAGATTCAACAACACATCATCCTCAAGCACCTGAAATCATGGATGGAGTCGCCGGAATCCAGCACCAAAGCTTTTCCTCTCCGACTGCTTTGCCGTGATATGAATTTGGAAACCAGCCAGACTGTTTTCGTCGGACCGTATTTAAGTGGGGAATCGAGGAAAAGATTCGAAGTGGATTACAATTTCTTCAATGTTGGATTGATGAAACTTCCAATTGATTTGCCGGGATTTGCTTTCAGAAACGCCCGATTAGCGGTGTCAAGACTCGTCGAAACGCTGGCGGTTTGCGCCGAAGACAGTAAAACCAAGATGAAATCCGGCAACGATGCCACTTGTTTGGTTGATTTCTGGATGCAAGATACCATCCGTGAAATCGCCGCCGCGGAGGACGCCGGAGAAAAACCACCACCGCACAGCAGCAGCACCGAGATCGGCGGTCACCTCTTCGACTTCCTCTTCGCCTCTCAAGACGCCTCCACGTCATCCCTTCTTTGGGCCGTCAGTTTACTCGACTCCCATCCCGACGTTTTGGAGAGGGTTAGAAAAGAAGTCTCCGGTATATGGTCACCGGAATCGGAGAAGTTGATCACCGCGGAACAGCTGAGAGAAATGCGATACACGGAAGCGGTTGCCAGAGAAGTAATCCGGTACAGAGCTCCGGCGACGATGGTTCCACACATTGCCGGCGAAGACTTCCCGTTGACGGAAACCTACACGATTCCCAAAGGCACAATCGTTTTCCCATCCGTGTACGAATCTTCTTTCCAAGGGTTTATCGAGCCGGAGCTGTTCGATCCAGACCGGTTCATGGAAAACAGACAAGAGGACCGGGTTTACAAAAAGAATTACCTGGCCTTTGGAGCTGGGGCCCACCAATGTGTGGGACAGAGGTATGCAATTAATCACCTGGTTTTGTTTATTGCGATGTTCACCTCCTTGTTTGACTTCAAGAGAGAGAGAACGGACGGCTGTGATGAGATCTCGTACGTCCCAACCATCTGTCCACGTGACGATTGCAAAGTTGTTGTGTCTTTGAGATGTACACGATTTCCATCTCTCTCGTGAGTGTAAAAAAAGGTGATGGATTTTATACAAGTTTGATGGTCAACCATGGATGTCTTATTATTTGTAGTACCCTTTTTAATTCTTCAATGGTAAATGGGTGGATTGTTTTTTATTAATAAATTATTTTTTTTATTTTTATTAATATTATTGTATTTATTTTGGTTTAAGATCAACTCATGAATCGAAAATCCAGAAAATAAGTTTTGATGTTAATACATACGATTTAATAGTAAAAACATCTTTCAATAACTATATTATTTTAGAAATTTTGAGATTTAAGAAAAGTTCGCTGCAACAGCGACATTATACACTTTCAAAAATTAAAAAATAAATAATTGATAGAATGGTAAAATCTCCGAGAGATTCTAAATTTTTAAAATGTCTATTTTAATATATCTGTTGAAGGTGCTCTAAATAAACATTCATTTTCATCTGTTAAAAAAGAAAAAAAAGCAAAGTATATGAAAATTAAAAAGTATTTGCTTTGAGTTTTATTTTAAAGATTATGCTGTCATTATTTTTGGAAAAACATATAATGTTTGTTACGTGATCAAAAGAAATGAGTATGTTTTGATTTAGTTAAGGTAATATATTATAAGTTTATAGATAAAGAAGAAATTTGTTTATGATTTCGTAAACAAGGAGTGGTTTTAAGAAAAAGACTACTCAACCTTTTTTATTTAAAAATTCACACTTTCTTTTAAATAGTTTAGTATGTGTATAAATAAATACATATGTATATTTACTATAGAATATATATTTGATTTTCAATATTGATGATTAATATAGTGGCGATTCATTAGAATTTATAATTTTAAAATACATTGTTTTTATTATTATTTTTACTTAACGGGTACCTAATAGATTCCCCGAACCAACAGGAGATTCCTTCCTCCCGGACTTATCAAGGATTAGTTGGGATGGGGGATTAAACGGACCCGGAAGATATATTTTTTAAAATAACAGTAAAGATATACACATCATAAATTTTTAATTTTGTGGAATATTGTTTGTAGTTTTTTTTTTTCTTTTCAAATTACAATAATTACAGGGCACTAATAAATTAATTGTGTTTTAATAAGTTCATTTTCCGTTGTTTTATTATTATTTTATTAAATAACTTATGTCAATTTTTCAAAAGTAGGAAAATATACTTGATTCTCGTTTGATGTCAACTTTTGAATATGACACCTTTTCTAACCATGAGACAGTATCATTTGATAATAATGTTTGATAACGATTAAATAAGGGAGAGGCTAATAGCAATCCTATGTATCATTAGTGGCACCTTTATGTATAGGTTTAATTATGATTGTTTTTTTTTTGTTTTTTTGTGTTTTTTTGTTATTATTATTTTATATTATTCATTTTATTTTCTTTTTTTTATTTATTTATATTATATTTTAATTAATATAAATTCTTAA